GATCCAGCAGTCTCCATTTGTGACTCTCGCTAGCGGTTCTGGTTTTGCAGCGAACACAGGAGTTCAGACTCAGGCCAAGCTGCCGCTCAACGGGTGAGAATAAGTTCTTATTCTATGTGGGGGACGGAGAAACTAAACAGTCTACGATCACCTCTTAAGATCGGTTAGCTAGCAGACAATCTGCTCCCACTTTTCCAAGCTTGCGTTTTTGTTTTTAGTAGCTTCTGTACACTCTTCAGATGATCAGAGAGTGAGAGAGATGTCCTCTTACATTTATCCCCAGATACAAAGATTGAGGAGTAATGTCAGATTTCAAGTGAAGAATGCAGAAACTTTTTCACCATTCTAATGGATTCCCTTAATGTCCTTTATATTACTCTTCCTCTAAAATATATTATTTGATGTCTTTCAGCTTGTCGACGGCAGACTCAACCTCCAGACAGAGGAAACCATGCAACTGCACCAAGTCACAGTGTCTCAAACTGTAAGTTCAGTTTGTTTAATCATCGTATTCATTTGTCCAAACCCTGACCTGATCTATACGATGAATTTGTAACTGAAATACAAACGAAGAGAGAAGAAAGATCCACTCAGGTTTTTTTGTTTGTTGCACACTTGGGTTGGAGTTGATACTCTCAGTCTTATTCATTCAGTATTATGAAGCAGAGCTCTTGTTTGTCCTCTCCTAGATACTGCGACTGCTTTGCAAACGGAGAATTCTGCAGTAACTGTAACTGCAACAACTGCTTCAATAACCTGGAACATGAAACGGAGCGTCTCAAAGCTATAAAGGTGAGCTGGAGTTTTAAAGTGGCTAAGCTGCCGTTATCTGAGTCCGATAACTCAAAGTTAAAATGTGTTTTATTTGATTCTACAGACGTGTCTGGATCGAAATCCAGAGGCCTTCAAACCCAAAATAGGTAAAGGTAAAGAGGGCGAGTCGGACCGCCGACACAGCAAAGGCTGCAACTGCAAACGGTCGGGCTGCCTGAAGAACTACTGCGAGTGCTACGAGGTCAGATTTCCTTTACTGCATTGTTTTTGACTGGTTTAACCCTTCGTACTTATAATTAACACTTTATATGTCCTACTTTTTTTTTTTTTTTACCATCTTAAAGGCGAAGATCATGTGCTCGTCGATCTGCAAATGCATCGGCTGTAAAAACTTTGAGGAGAGCCCGGAGAGGAAGACTCTGATGCACCTGGCTGACGCAGCAGAAGTGAGGGTGCAGCAGCAGACGGCGGCCAAGACCAAACTGTCGTCGCAGATCTCAGACCTGCTCATGAGGACCACACCGGTTATTTCAAGTGGAAGCGGGAGGTACTGAAAGACTTTTCTCCTGAGCCAGAAAAATCTTTATTATTACAGATTTATGATAATCAAAAGTTTGCTCCTCAAACTGAAAGGTTTGATTTGACGCACTGATCACTGCAGGTCAGAACATTAATAAGAGCAAGAAATCAAAGCCCAAAGAAAGTAAACCAAGCGAATAACAACACAGACCTGTGGTTAGCGGTGGGGATCGCAGGGTAAGTCATGATACTATTCGAGGCCCATGATATTAATAATATCATGTCGGGGAAGTTGTGGAGAGCCTATGAGTAATCAAAGCATGCAGGACCGGCGTACAGCTTGAAATTGTCGTTTGTACTGTACATGCAGCTGTCAACTGTCTTTTCTGCTCGCCAGTATGTTTTGTTTTTTTGATACTGTGAATACGTCCAATTACACAGCATTGATACAAAGAGGGGAAAAAACGGTCATAGTTTCAGATTCTGTCGCTTTGATGTCCACAGCATCTTTTCAGGAGTGCATGTGTGAAACAGCAACACTGTTTTATTTTATTTTATTTTCAAATACAAATGTCCACAACCCTTTGTTTGATATCCATTCCTGGTAACTGCTGGAAAACGTCTTCCTCTGAGTGGGATAAACAATCCTCTAATGAATGTGTCTTTTCAGTAATGTCTTGTTTCCCCTCTCCGCTTCAGGCTGCCGTACACGTTTGTAACAAAGGAGGTGCTCGAAGCGACGTGCGAGTGTCTCCTGGAGCAGGCCAAGAAGGCGGAACAGACTCATCAGCATCAGCATCAGCATCAGCATCAGGCGGAGGCGGAGCGGATGATCCTGGAGGAGTTTGGACACTGCCTCATGAGGATCATCAACTCGGCAGGAAAGCCAAAGCAGACTGTGCCTCCATCAACTGTTAGGCAGCTCTCTGGCTCTCCCTCGCCCCTCGAACCTAACCCGCCTCAGCTGTTGGCGGGGGGGGGCCGGAGACGTGGATTACTTTACATCCTCTTGTCTCGGATTCCCTCCCCCCTCCATCCCAAGGTGTCTCTCCAGCAGGGGAACGGTTGTGTCCCTCGTCAAAAGGCAGAACAATGGGTTAAAAGTAGATTCAGCCGCCTTTGACAGCTGGAATAACACACACAGAGCAGCCGCTTGTGCTGTTCACGTCTCAAACTGAAGGACAAATGGACAGAGAAGACGGACTCTGATGGACCTTTTGTCCCCTTCTGTCCACACATGGACTCTCGGAAAGAAGAACAGGAACATAAACTTTTTCTCTAATTTCCCTTCAAGGCTGTTTCTCCTCCTTCTGTTCTTCCATTTGATTCTCTTTTCTTTTATTCTTTCCCTTTTTTATTTGAGTCTTTCTGGGAAGAAGATCCCCGTATGTTTTTATGTAATGGGCATATTTGTGCTTACAGTAGGCAAACAAGAACATGTTATCTTTTGATATTTATTTTGACAAGTATTTGTAATCATTGTAAGCGCTAATATCGTGTGGCTTATAGTGCTGCAAATCGTTTATGAAGTATTAATTAACAAAGCCTAGGCTAAATTGTTTGAATGAAAATGAGTAGAGGCAATCTTTAGGTTCGACCCTAAAATCAATTTGAACATATTATCCATTCTGCACACTCAGAATAGATTAAATACAGCGAGATATTTCCTCTGATGCTGATTTCTGTGTAATATTCACATGCTTCCTATACATTAAAACACACTGAATGGGAAAACCATTAAGACTTGTTCAATGATGTTTCATCCGAGGCTGGTTAGATGTCACAATGGGGAGTTATGAGAGGAAAAAAATGAAGTAAAGGTTGTTTTTTTTGTCGCAGAAAATATGAAAAGATAAGGACTAATTCATATAAATCAAAGATAAATGGCTGAAATATCTGTGTATTGTACAAGTCAGAGGACATTTTGCACAGCCCACGCAGCAGGTGGCGGTAATGCACAGACATGAAAATACACATATGACCAGAAGAAGAAAACTCGAAGCGCCTGGGTGGAGAAATGTAGTGTGGAGGTTCAGCATTACGATAGAGGGTCTGGGGGGGAAAGGGGATATGTAAGACATTTAGAATTGGAAAGGGTAATTTAGGCATTGAGTGTTACATTTATACTTTTGTGTATTTAAATCCTGTAGTTGATATGGAAAGTTAAATAGCTCCTTCTCTTTGAATATGGTTTTCAAGCGACGGTCTGTTCTGCAGCGTGGCTGAAAAACTCAACACGTGTGTGGGGGGGGGGGGGGGGGGTCCCTCTTCAGTATTGAGGTAAGGAAAACTTAAATTAAGTGTAGTTTGTATCATGTGTTCCTTTTTAAATGTGTGTAAGAAAGGAAAATCAGTGCTCTTTACGATTTAAAACTGCCAACGTCAGAGCACGTGGTCACAAAAAGCCAGCGTCATGTGTCACACCAAACTCCATTTAAATAATTCTGTATTTGGTGTTAAATCGCAAATTGACCAATATTAATCTGAAATCAGAACACAACTCTACACTTTTCTGAAGTAGAAGTTGCAACTCTTGAATTCGGCGCACACCGTGTGTCTCTAACACACTTTAGTTAAACTCCTGGTTTTGCAAATATTTCATCATGCAAAAGTATTCATGTTTTTGCATGGTGTAACATCATGCACACATACCCATCACTTTAATTTTATCTTCATATTACATTCTGATTGTTTCTTGTTTTTACAGGTCAGCTGAAGAACAAGGTTGTGACCTGACATGCATGTACTGTAAGTATTTGCAGTCCTGATGTGTGTAATAAAGTAAAAAAGCCATCCCAATGATTATACCAATCACTACCCATCTGACCCATTCATATGTCTGGGGGAGATTATACATGAAATACTAAATGAGGGTTTCGGCGTTTATTTTACAACCAAATATTTCTGCTGTATGAGTTTAACTGTTTATTTAAAACTTTTTTTATTCTTTCAGGGGCGACTTGCTGAGGTGTGAGTTCTGCTGAAGTTTACACAACTACATCTGCATTAAGAACTTTGTTGGTTTGTCTTTGTTTATACTTTCAGCTATTTCACTAATAAATATTCACTGAAGCATAATTTGTTGGTGTGTGTTTTTTTTTTTTTAGCTAGCAGGGGCAATATGAAAAATATCACATTTATAATCTGAAACCTAATACTGCTGCTTAACTTAAAATGGTTTACGTTGGAATATTATGATTTGGTACAATATTATCTAAGATGCTTTTTTTCCATTCATTCAACTGACATTAGGATTTGCTGAAAATGCATTGACAACAAGGCAGCATGTAATATTGAATGGGATTAGATAATACTGATGGATAATTTTAATAACCAGCCTGTGACCTCTAGTGAAAATAGAACGTTGAATAGTCGGACTTGAAAAGCTCTATACAAGCTGAAGTCCATTATATACCTTCCAAATCAAGGTGTCTAGTTTGGGCTCTTTTTTACTAGGAAAACATGTTTTATTTCAGATAAATTTATATACCTCAAGGGGTTCAATTCTTTCTTGGAAAAAAAATACTCAAGTTCAAGTTTCTGAATGATTCTGAAATTGTTTTTAGACTTATGGCACATTTGCCTTCATTTTTTATTGAATTCAGAACGCTAATGATAATTGTGCATGTTCACTTGGTTATATTAGTGCTTTTACATAAGCATCCACTACTCTGCCCTTTTTGTGAACTTGCAGAATTCAATATTCCTCTAAAATGCAGGTTACATTCTGGAACAAAAAGAGCAAATTTCATGAACTTCAAATTTCATGAAATTTCATGAATTTAACGACTGAAAATCAACATGGCATATTTTTTTTATTCAAGTATAGATATAATACGATACATTTAATACATTTTTCCAACACTTATTTAATCCTAGTGATTGTTTATTGTCTCAAGGACTTTGGTCATATGATTAATTAATTAATTAATTAATATTACTCATTTATATTAATTGTTCTTTTTTTAAATTATGGCAATAAATACAATTTTTAAAGAGGAGGTGGTGGAGAATATTTTTTAATATTTCTTTTTTATCACCTAATGCATTTTGTGACACTTATTTAATCCTCGTAATTGTTTATCGTCTCAATGACTTTGGTCATATGATTAATTAATTAATGTTACTCATTTATATTCATTGTTCTTTTTTTAAAAATTAGGAAAATAAATAAAGTTTTTTAATCAACAAATTAATTTATTATCTTTCACATAGAGCCACACGTTAAATTTTCCAGCGTCCCTCGATTGTTTGATTTTTCTAATTAGCATAGTTAGCATTCCAGCACGCTAACAGCGACGTCGACTCTCCCCGGAAGTTGTTGTTCTTCTTCTTCGTGGGAGGAGCTGGATTGTTGCTTAGCGCTGAGTGCCACGTTGATGGAGACCAGTGGGGACGTGGAGGATCTGTCTTGAGTCTGCAGCAGCCGGGACCCGGTGTAGCCTCCTCTTCTGGGTTGTTGTTTTTTTTTTACAGCGTCAAGCAGAAGCGAAAGAGGAACTTAAAACGGGAGGAGGCTGTTTGTGTTTGTCATCTTTTTGTTTATGTGTGCGTTAATGTAAGAAGCAGAAACGAAGGTAAGCAGCTTTAGTGGAGTAATAAGATCTGTGTGAGTGTGTAACTGTCTTCTTCTACTGTTATATTTTGCAGCTAGCAGGCTACATAAATGTCCTCTTGTAGCTTTAGGACATGCTGTACCGAGTCCAGCTGAGCCTGCAGGCAAAGTGACAACAAACAGTCTTTTCTCTGCTCCTTCACTTCCTCACACCTTTGAGACTCAGTATTTTTTGCTTGCTGCTGTTTGTTGCTTTTACAGTAATTGGCCAATCAGCTGTTAGCATGCTGCTAGCTTTCATTGTACTTTTGTTTGTTGTGTTAACCTTGAATGGAAGGAAGGAGTTCACATATTTTACTACTTACTGCGCAGCTTTACGGCGCAGAGGTCAGGTAGTAGTGTTAATTAAAGCTTAACATGTGTCTATTCACCTTTTAACGTCTGCATTTATAACTACACTGAAGTGGGAGTGATATATTTTTATTACTGCTTTATTACATTTGCCTTTCTGTAGTTGGACTTAGTTCATTATGTACTTTCATCTTAAACTAATTCAGGATAACTGAGTTAACCCTTCACGAAGGTTGCAACGTCACATGTTGTTTTCTTTACTAAATTGGGTAGACAAAATAAAAATGACAGTAAAAACTGCAGCAGAGGAAAAGGCTGGTTAAACCTTGAGTGCAAAATAACAACTTTTTTTGTTCAAATTGTCAAATAGTGGCCTATTATGGTCACTTTTTATCTGTCTACTCGCCATTACATTGAATAGTTTCTGCTTATAACATGTCTACACTCATGTCAATACTGTCCATTTACAACTCTGTTTTTGCACATTTACATTTAATCTTCCTATTTAAGACTAGTAATGCTAAGTTAAATCCTGGTTGTATATATTCACATTCTTAGTTTTGATATTTTTAGTGCTTATTTACTTTGTATTAAATATCATATTGTGTTTAGATCTGCTCACATTGTGTTTTTTACTCATTGTGTGTTTGGACAACCTGCTGCTGTAACGCCACAATTTCCCAGTTTGGGATCAATAAAGTAATTCTATTCTATTCTATTTTATTCTTTACTAAACATGTATGAAAGAAACTGCTTCACCGCTGTCTCAGAGACAGATTCCTGTGTGTATGCAAGTAAATAAAACAGTAACTTAAACATGATTTTTCCTCTTTGAACATTGTGCTGCTTACTTTTAATCTGTAAACGTTTGCTGAGACTGATGGCGACAAAAAGAGCACAAATTGGTTGCCAGTTTCTGAGAATAGTTGCACCCTGAACAATTTTGAAGTTCTCAAACCTTCACTTATTCAAGACAAATCTGTACATTTGATTCAACAAATCTGTAAAAAGGGAGTATTTACCGCGGAGCTGGGATTTGTGTCAGCAGTGGTTATGATGAGGTGTTCTTAAAAGTTTGGTGACTCAGTGTTCATGCACATATGTACACTTACAGAGTTGAACACGGTGTGATCCTCCTGTTTACACTCACTGTAAACGATGCATAACGCAATGTGCTGGGGGGACGGAGTTCGCTCCCTGTGATATGAGAAAATAAGTAAATATTACTGGTACTTTGAGTTACCATCCTGCTGCTATGACTCAGCAAAGAATCACTGTTTTGAATCGAGACTAAAGGCCGAACATACTGTTCATCCGTATCATGCAAAGCTGGAGGGGGAAGGGATATTTCACACCCGTTATGGACAGCAGGAACAATCACAGCGACCGATAATGTCAATGTACATACAAGATTGTTTTCGACTTGAAAAACTGCGGACCTGTCCCTTTAGCTCAGGAACATTTCCTGTTTGTTCATTCTGTCAGAGCCAAAAATACCTCAACTTTTCTTCTTTCCTGCAAAAGCCACATCAAAGAAAATCAAGATATAAATGACTGCGTCCACTCAGTAGTTATCACTGCGTGTAGAATTAAAAAATGTGCACTTGTTTCTTTCCAGGATGAAGCTCAAAGAGATCAACCGCACAGCCATCCAGAGCTGGAGTCCTGCACAGCACCACCCCATCTACCTTGCAACAGGTACGAGAAACACTGCAAGAAGTCAGCACGGGCCGGATTTAGCCGCAGCTGGCTGGTCTTTGACAGGACATTATATCATTTTTGTAATACGTTCCAGCCAATTTGTACTGCCACTTAACCAAATGAGTCATCGGGCTTACACCATATTTCTTTTTCCTTTTTGCTCCATTGGCAATTGAGTCAAAGAAAAAGTGACAGGGCTGTATTTCCAGCACGTTGCAGAATCCATGTATTTTGTTTTGTTTGTTTGACATGTAATGACTTGAGAGCTGCTCTTTAAAGGTTATTTAAAAAAAAACTGTCAAGCCAGGGACTCACATGCTTGTCAGGGTTTGTCTTACTCTGTTTCTCTCTAATGTAAAGATTGGAGTTTCTTATTATTCACCACTCCTTTTCCTCCTTATGTTACTTTTTTTTTTTTTATGAAGAAGTTTTTTTTTTTTTTTTTAAAGCTTTGCCCTGCTGACGAGCCTACATCTTATGTGACTCAACGTGTCTCTCTCTCTCTCTCTCTCTCTCTGTCTCCTCTCTCTCTCCTCTCTCTCTCTCTCTCTCTCTCTCTCTCTTCTCTCTGTCTTCTCTCTCTGTCTCTCTGTCTCTCTCTCTCTGTCTCTCTCTGTCTCTCTCTCTCTCTCACTCTCTCTGTCTCTCTCTGTCTCTCTCTCTCTGTCTCTCTCTCTCTCTCTCTCTCTCTCTCTCTGTCTCTCTCTCTCTCTGTCTCTCTCTCTCTCTGTCTCTCTCTCTCTCACTCTCTCTGTCTCTCTCTCTCTCTCTCTCACTCTCTCTGTCTCTCTCTCTCTCTCTCTCTCTCTCTCTCTCGTTCTCTCTCTCTCTCTCTCTCTCTCTCTCTCTGTCTCTCTCTCTCTCTGTGTCTCTCTCTCTCTCTCTCTCTGTCTCTCTCTCTGTCTCTCTCTGTCTCTCTCTCTCTCTCTCTCTCTCTCTCTCTCTCTCTCTCTCTCTCTCTGCAGGAACATCAGCCAGCAGCTGGATGCCTCCTTCAGCACCAATGCCTCCTTGGAGTTTTTCGATCTCGACCTGACTGACCCGAGTCTGGGCATGAAGTCGTGCGGCAGCCTCGCCTCCTCTCACAGGTTCTAACTTCTCCGTATGATGTTGGAATGTTTTCCTCGTCGTGGAGCTGATTATCACAGGTGTTCTCTCCTTTTTCTTCTTCTAACAATACCACAAACTGGTCTGGGTCCGTACGGATGGATTCTGAAGCCCACCCATCGGGGGTCCTTATCGCAGGGGGAGAGAACGGCAGCGTGATCC